ACCCTCCCATCCACAAACCCGCGCAGATCAGACATACGTCTTCGTAAAGACGCCATACGTCAGTCCATGACGACGAGGGAGGCTTGGATGAGGCTCCTGTGCCAGTTGTAGAGAAGGACGACGACGACGACGGGTCGGAGGATGAGGCGGCGTGATTGCGGAGGTATGATGAAGGGTCACAACAGTGATGATGGGAGTGAGGAAGGGAAGGGTCATTCGCTCGTTCGTTAGCATCAATTTGAAGTATTCTATCCAATTCCGTCCACTGAACGTAATCAATGTTAACACCCATAGCAGCGAGAAGAAACAAGCGAGAGCTTACAAGTTTAACATCACTCCAACCAAATCCTACACGCGATAGTTTCCAGGTTTCCCTCCGGCTCCCTCCAGACCCAGATGTGGTAGGGGGCACAACCTTCGTAGTGTACAAGGTGGGACGCGAAGCTTTCGAAGGTGTCGAGGAAGTCAAATCAATCAGCAGGTCGTAATAGGAGGGTTTTTCCAAGAATATCGCGTCAGTTGTACCTAAGAACAACAATCTCGTCAGTGACGAGGCCTTATGCAAGGATAGGCAGCAAACCTACACGCAATAAACCCTCTTCCACTTTGCCCTTCCTTCTGCAGTCGATCCAAGTCATTAAGCGTGACCATTCCGAGCACCTGAATCCCTTCTTTACACTTTCCCTTTAACTTTCTTCGTTGCCTACTTCTCCCACTGTCAAGACCACCAACTCTCAAATCCTCCCCGTCGTCACTTCCATTACCCAACCACCCGCTTCCATCTCCATCTCCACCGATATTAACATTAACAGCCGGAGAGTCGTAGTCGACCTGATCTTCAAAGCACATGTCAGCCGCAATGTGACATAGAATGCAAGCGGCTTCTACTGGTGGGAGAGTGAATATCAGGATGCGACGGCGTGCGAGGACGTGTTTATATAAAGTGAGGGTTGAAGGGCCTAAAATGCGCAGTAGGTGGGGAAGGTGAAGAGTCGGGTGCGTCGATGGTGACGGAGCTCGGGGCGCAGAAGAGGATGGCTCCAGGGAGGCGGGCTCGTAATCGGGCTGTACGTCGTAAAAGTGAGTAAATAAACAAAGGCGGATGAATCGATACAGAAATATGATAAAATCTGCACTCACGAGGTCAAATTCATGACTCCACCCATCCCACCTCCCAGCACCTCCCAGATCTCCCCTACCAACCTTCCTCTCCTCAAACCAGGCCTTCGCCATATCCCAATCACTCTCTTCCATCTCTACTCCACCCCTTTCCGCCAAGCCTCCATAAATCCTCCCCACAAGCTCCTTCAAGCCCGCAAGATGTCTCCATGGCCTCGGTCGTGTTGACTTGGCTAATAATATGCCGATCGAGGAGAGGCGGAATCCACGATGGCCGTGGTCAGTCGTTGGTCGGCGTCGGAAAATGCAAAGACCTTGGTGAGTTGATTTGGTGAAGTATCTGAGGGAGAGGTCAGGGGGTTTCAGACGAAAAGCGTCACGGACGGGGAGGGAGGGGGACATACACGACATCTTGTTCGACCAGATGTAGACCGCTGGGCAGACAGCTAAACTCGACATCTGTCAAGTCGAAATCTATTCGAGTATTGTCACGATAGTCAATTCAACAGGAATTCGAAGTAAAGGTCAAGCTCACCTTCACTGGCCTTTAGGGACCAATCTATGAGACTCCCTTTCGTTGGGTGAAACGATACATGGAATATCGCCACTGTTCGTTTCCAGGAGATGTTGTCAGCCACCTCATCGAATCTGACTAAGGACCTTGGGGACTCACCAAGATCATGGGGTAACTTGGGTTTGCCTGCTTCCAGGCGGGACATTATGGCGGGTTGCAAGTTGCAGCAAGGGGACAGGAGCTTGAGTAGTCAGTGAGCGTTTGGATATCGGACGGAATTTCGCAGCATGAGAACCGTGGGAGAGTGGGCTCACGCATGTCACGTCAAGATCACACCCATAGATTGTCACTGCGGTAGCTCTGTACCCCTCATCGCCAGTCATGGCTTCCTCCCAACAACAGCAAGTCAATGTAACTGACCTCGATGTATCCCAATTAGCAGATGTACGGAGACAGCTGGAAGAGGTTCGTCTAGCTTTCTACATCACGAGACCATACGCAACCTGACCGTCGATCATTCACTTGTCCAGGAATTGGAACATCTATCGAACTCGTTTGCTCAGCTGAAACAAGCTCAGGCAAAGTTCAAATCGTGCATTGAAAGTGTTGCGGAGATCAAGCCTGCGAACCGGGGTGAGTAGTGTTATATTACAGTCACATGTTGGACATTGGATTGATGATCGCCCGCATTCGCGTGCGCCAGGCAAGACTGTGTTGGTACCCTTGACCAACTCCCTCTACGTCCCCGGTAAGCTATCCGACCTAGAGCACGTCATCGTCGACGTTGGCACCGGATACTACGTCAAAAAGGTGCGTCACGATCGCTCGTCTTCGTCTCTTCATGCCCCCCCCCCATCCAACTTCTTTGACCAACTTCTGACTCTCGATCACCAACCCCACCAGACCCGTGCACAAGCAACCAAATACTACTCCCAAAAAGTCCAATTCATCCAATCCAACCTCGAGACTCTTCAAGAAACCCTCCAAAAGAAACAAGACAACCTGAATTTCGTGTTGAATATATTACAGTCGAAGGTACAGGCGCAGGCACAAGCTGCAGCTCCATCGGGAAAGAAATCAAAGGCATGAGACTTGATTGGAATGTCATACCGCGTTCATTACTGTCGACGCTCAAGCGTGATCCATCTTGAGTTACCGAAGTGTGGTTGTCAAATATGCTGTGTTCGGTGACTGGTTGTCTCTGGAGCAATCCTCTGATCGAGCCTGCTGGAGTTGTTTCCAAGGAGTTTTCTACGGCTGGTGGGTCGATTCCAAAAAGTGTAGAAGCTGCTCAAAGCTTTCGCTCACTAGAGCCCTGCGATGGAACATATCGTCCAGTCTGACATGTGCATGAGAACATAAGCTATTCCAAATGTCTCCAGTGGAGATTGTGGTATTGCCTGGTAGGCATATACACAGCTATGTTGGATAAAATTAGAAAATAGAGGCAACAATAATTGGGCAAAATGATTGGCATAGTAACCGAGCCCTCCGATACGGGGAATCGAACCCCGAGCTGCCGCGATCGCTGCCTATGGCGCTGAAAGGCGGCAATGTTAGCCGTTACACCATATCGGACGTGGGAAGGTCAGGATACTTGACTATATGTTAACCTGAGAAGCAATCCCGGGACAAAACCGCCAGAATCGTTGAATCCTCGATGTGCCATGTGTAGTTCATGCATTGCTGGAGGTGTCGTGCCCCTCTGATTCTGGGAAGAGAAAGAAGTCGCATCGTCTTCACGAAAACCATTAAGAGGGTGGATAGTAACTTGTAGGGAGATGCTGACACCCCCGGGATGAGTTGGATCAGGCTTGAGTTGATAGTCCCTGTATTCGAGATATTAGTTTGTGTTGCGGTAGTTGCTTGATACGAGGACGGCACCAGAACGCTCGCCGGCGAGGGTGAAGATGTTCAATGCGTAGATGCACTGTATGTGCATACGATTGGTCCGGAGTATTTTCTTATCTTGCCAGATGAAGCCGATGATGATATCGCCGTCGACAACGTCGGAGTAAGTCTTTATCGAAGTTGGCTTTGACAAGTGGACAAAAGACATGAACTCTTCAAAGAGTAAATAAGCCAGAGTGTTGAGGCGAAGTGCAGAGGGAACGTAAATCAGGGCATAACGGGGGAAGAGAGCGAGGAAGGTCCGGAGGTAGAAGGAAAGGTTGTTGTGGGTGATATTCTTTTTGAGTCGACCCTTGAGTGTTGTAGCAATCCATTGGACGGGCCCTTTGACAATCTCTGTGGAGCTGCTCAGATGGGGACCATACTGAAAGTCTGAACGAGACTTACTCTCATCGGGAAGTCTCGGTCCTCTCTTGAATTCCGCAATGCATCTGCATCGAGGGTGACTCGAAGGTCGAGTTTTGGTGTTGCATATTCGACGTATTCGGAATACGTCGAATACGCAACACCAAAAATCGAACTACGGTATTCCGCCCACAAGATTTTGATGCGTCAGACGTTTGGTAAGTGGCTTGTCGAGTTCATCCCAGTTGACGAGCGGGTGCCGGAAGGCGGGATCTTGTGAGGTTCGTTCCTCGAGTACTTCGGCGCAAGTTTATTTGCCAGCAGTGAGAAGGGGCATGACGGTGGGCAGCACTTTCAAGACGTAGACAGTGATTTCGAGGTAGACAGTGATTTCAGATTAGACAGTGAAATCTTGCAAAACGGCGAGAGCGACGTGGAAAAAGGCAGGCAGCAATTTTAAAAGGCGAGGGCAACATGAGAGTGACAGTTTCAATGCTTCGAGAACGGGAGTGGGAGGAGAAGAGGGACAAAAACCAAGGAATTGCGTTGTTGTCGGTTTACATATATATGCCCCCTCACGAGGAGGTCAACAATGCCACCACCATCCCGTTGGGTTCAACAAAGTGTACACTGCCACCGAATAACCTTATTCAGTTGTCCCCACACCCAGCGTTCCGGCTTTGTCGGCTTTGCCCGCCCTTGCCCACCTGCCCCACTGTGTTGCCCTCGCTCACCCCAGCCCTCGACTTTGCCTCGTAGACTATATAGGAGAAAGGCGGCAATGTTAGCCGTTACACCATATCGGATGTGGGAAAGCCCGGATGCTTGCCTATATCATAGCCATTGAAATAATATTGTGGGTTAAAACAACAAACACGGAGAAAATGAAAGAAATAGAGTCCTCATTGATGCATCACTGACCCACCCTTGTATATTTACAGTGCTCTGATTCTAATCACTCATCAAGCTCAAGGTGGAACCAACCGTCCTCTTCAGTATTCCACTAGTACTATGAGGAACAAGAACTGCTCCACTGCAAGTGCCAAACGAACGTTGCAGGCCTGGAAATCACTGATTTGGAACAAAACAATCACCTTTGCAACACCTGATATGCGTTGACCGGGAGTCGAACCCGGAGCTAGGCCATGGGAAGACCCAATGTTACCGCTACACCATCAACGCTATGCTGCTAGGCCGCTGGTGGAATTCATTGTCTAAGGAGATAAACATCGTGCAGCCTTCTGACTTCAATGAACCCTGGTCTCCTCACTGGGCAGAATATTGTAGTGATACCACAACCCTCTTTAATGTGCACATTACTTTTTTTAAATCCTCTGGATGCTGACCGCTTGCCACGCCCACCAGGATTTCAGTCTTGACAAGATGACAGTACTATTCACCAGCTGACAACTAGGCCACCAGATCTGCTGAACGACACCTCCATACTACTTTCGCCACTCGGCCACGGTCATGTAGCTGAGCGACATTAGAGCCGACACAACGAAACACCGGCACAGAACATTGAGTTGACAAGAGTAACAATATCGTGATGAAAGGGCTACATGGGATGAATGGGATATACGTGACCGAAACACTACCAACGAGGAAAAAACAGGAGAAAGAAAACTATGCGAGACAAGACCTCTTTCTCATTCATTATGGGGTATACCCTTTAAAGTATTCATGGTCCAAACCGCGTTTCGCTGTTACGGACAGTGGGTCAGTAGGGGTGAGGAAGAGGTGGAACCGTACTCACCAGAGATACGCTTCGATGTGTCATAGATAAGGGTGCTCTGAATTGGGGGGAGGGGGTCAGTTCAAGATGTCATAAACGTGGATGGCGTAGGCGACGGGGCGTGTCGCGCCAGTCGAAGGAACAGGACAAGACATGAAGTATCTCGAAGGGCAGAACCACTGACCTTCAACAATTCTACCCCAGCGTCATCCAAAGTTGGTACCTGCACACGTAGATCTTGTCCGTGCCACTGAGGGAAAGTCGGCTTATAATCAGCCATATTACGGAGGTCTGGCCATTGCTCCTCATTTGGAGTTCCCAAGATTCTACAAAAGGTCACAGAGTATCAGAGATCAAATCATGTTTCCAACGGACTATCGAGTGAAGAGGCCCATCGAGGGAGAAAAGACGGGGACCCTACCTGAAAATCTTGAAAATCTGATCAATCTCAGAATCACCAGGGAACAGGGGCGCTCCTTTCAACGCCATCTCCGCGAAGATACATCCAACAGACCACATGTCGATAGCCGTCGAGTAATAACGTGATCCGAGCAAGACTTCTGGAGCTCGATACCAGAGTGTCACCACCTGCAATTTGTTGTCGGTCCCCGCTCAAAAAACTGAGATAGACCTTGAGGGACTTACCTCATGCGTATACGTCCGCATAGGAATACCAAACGCCCTAGCAAGTCCGAAATCTGCAAGTTTAAGATTGTTACGCTTGTCGATAAGCAAATTCTGTGGCTTGAGGTCGCGGTGGAGAATTCGATGAGTGTGACAGTAGAGCAAACCACGCATGAGTTGGTGAGTGAATTTCTGGACAACAACACGGGGGTGGAGTGAGTTTCATGAGACAAGAGAGGAAACAGGGGAGGAGGTGATGGAGAAATAGGGAGGTGATGAATGGTAAGCGGAGGAAGATTGGAAATATGCGAATCGAAGGAGTAATCGAGAGAAGAGGATCGAATTGTTCCATGAATTGAGCATCGAGAAAAGGCTATCTCAAGTCGATCGTATGGGAAACAAGTGTCACGTGATCCTGCATCGCGATCGGCTCCAGGACGCGGATGGTAGCACACGACGTGACGATACGCGACAACGCCGCCGGAACCCCAACGTATACATGCCGTGAGTATCCTCCACAAGGAAGGCACGGGGACACAAAGGGAAGGGGAGGAATAGAGTTCAAATCGATGAAGGATGCTCACCTTGACGATATCCATCGTAATGGGCGTACCTTCTTGATTTGCCAAGTCCATGTAGCGTTTGAGATCCACGTCCAAAAATTCGAACACGAGATAGAGTTTCTGATCTGCGTGGACAATGTCCAATAATCTGATTGGTTCGAACAAAGTTTAGCATGGGAGGGGCGTTGCATGGGGAACGGATAACGGCGGACAGGTTTGGGAGTAGACAGACCTGACAATGTTATCATCCTTGAGCTCCTTCAACAAGCTGATCTCTCGAATAGCCGTGCTCGGTACTCCTTCATCTTCTGCTTCTAGTCGGATCTTCTTGAGTGCAACGATTGCGTTGTTGGTTACATCCCGAGCTTTGTATACGACACCGTAGGTTCCTACGACACGTAAGAAATGAGGAGAAAACGTTGCCCGTGGAATCAGGAACCGCCCTGAAGCATTGGGGAAATATTCGATGACGTACCTTCACCTAAATTCCAAGTCCGTCAAAGTTTGCTCCGCTGGCTCACGACGAAAAATTGTATGATCGCGCAAGGATGAACGGTACTCACCAACTTTCTCAATCTTTGCATACCTATAGATGTATAACCAGGGCGACGAAAAGACCGTCAGTCGTGCCCGATCGATAAAAAAGAGCACATGCGGCTAACCGATCCATCGTGTGGCGTGTAACGGAGGAAACTGATGGATATCAAGACAAGTGAGAGGCGACGAGCGAGGAAATTGAAAGCAAGGAAAGGGATCTAGGATGAGAATAAAAGAGGACCGTATGTGATGTGCTGGTGGTCCAGAAGTGAAGGTACGAAAGATTTGGTGGAATCCGTAACAGTGTTGGGGGGTTGTTACGTCCGATAAATCACGTAATGAAGATATAATTCACGGGAATGACTCCCTGGAAAACGTGGACGAGGCGTGTAGGCGAATGATACGCGAGTTTCTTGCGTTGCTGAGGGATTTGAGGGAGACTGATGGTGGATGAAAGGAAAAGACGGGGACTTGCCAACCAAAAGAGAGTTTTGTTTACATGGAATCCACGCACCGCCACCGAGACGCGGCCGAACAGTCGCGTGTTACACGTGAAGAAATGCCTGCCATAACCGGCGTTACTGTAAATTCGAAATCTTCAGCGATATATTCTCCAACAAATTCGCAGCACAACAACAATTAGGATGGACAAGGACTCATTGGCCCATACCGTATCTAATCCTACCCAGAGCAAGCCTCCTCATCGTCCCAAACTCGGTGGAGATCCCCCCAATCGTTTAAATTTCAGATCAGCAAATGGAAACAAGGTGTGAGACATTCGCGACAGCGATCATATCATCACACCTACAGAACTAGCTTTATCCTGCTTTATTATTCGTGTCCATCAGGAACGGAAACACAATGCTCCCGGTCCGTAACTCACAACAAACAGGAGTTATCCAACCTCCGGTTGCAAACATAGTCACAAGCCCCAAGCCCAACTCACACTAATCCACCACACCAAACGAAAAATGGGACGATTCGAATACCAGCAAACACTCCGAAAGGGATCAAGATGTCAGCGAGCGCCAAAAGCCTAGCAACAGCCGGAGCATCCGAATAGCTATCTGCATCACGATCGTCCCGTTCTGTTTGTGATTGCAAGATGGAAGCGGTCAAATGAATGGAGGTCTGACGTGAAGGAATTGGAGATGCCCCGAGCCAGCCCCACAAGAACACTTATCACAACGCGAAAAGAACGTGTGTGATGAAAACCCTTCACACCTACACACCTAACATAAAATTACAAACAAACCTACTCTGCTTCGTCACGTCTTCTCATTGTCCATCCATTGCTCGCCACGCTGATCAACTTGGTCTAGGCCACTTGATGTCCTCGTCTTCCCCCCTTCGAGCCCTGGTCATATCGATGTACTGACCCGGCCAAGGTTCTTCACCTACGGAGGACAAATATCAGCGAAATGTCCGCAAGTCGAGATCCGCGCCACCCCAGCGAGGGGGTCATCTGGGAAGGTCATCTGGGACTGGAGTAGAGACAGTTGAATAACCACAGCAACCGCCCCGCGATAGATATCATGCCGGGTCATCGACAGCGGCGGGCTAAAGATGTCGAGGTCCCTCATGTCGGAGCGGACGGGTTGGACAGACAGGGGCCATCCCGATCATGTCCCGACAAGACAGCCACCTCTAATAAATCATGGCCCCGACAGCCAACCATGACACGCGACGATACCATAGCTTCCAGATATCATCTCTACCAAGCGAGAGCAACGCATAAAGCGGATGGTCGGCCGGTATCCCGACCCCTCGAAAAATCACCAAGAATAATCAAGTCTAGAAACTCACTGCGATCGATGAGGTCAATCTCCGCATCCTCATCCTCATCTTCGTCGTCTTCTTCCTCCCATCGATCATTCAGGGCACCTTGAGGGTTCTTGGCCTTATCAACTGCGAGATCTTGCATTAACCTGCTCATCGAGTCTTCTTTTGCTAGGCGGAGAGATTCTTCTCGAGATTCACGAGCGCGGGTGAGTTCTGGGACGTAGTCTCTGTGTAACGGGTGAAAACCGTTTAGATGAGTGAGGGGGTAAAGGGGGAGGAGACCAAACCAGACGTACTTTTCATATTCTTCCCGTGAAGCGTCTACCGCTTCGAAAAATTCCTTGATACCGTCGCCCGTCATACTCGACACGCCTACGGCCTTGACGTCACGAACGAGGGAAAAATAACTGAGCATACGTCCGTAACGACATCCAACAATTGGGACAAGACCATGTACCTTTAGATGTTTGTAGAATTCGTCTAAAACCAAACTCATGCTATTCATCAAACTATTCATGTACGTCGGTTCTCCTTCGGAATCTCTCGATCCGCTGTGGGATGCCAAAGCAGCTTGGAAAGCTTCGAAGTCGTGCATCCATTCGAGGGCGAACTCGTGGGGTTGAACGTCAGTTTTGTTGAATACGAGGATGAAGGGGAGTTTGGTTTTGTAGAGGATACTACGGGGTTGAAGCCTCAGCTAAGCGGGATATGTCAGGGATGAAGTCGATCCGGGCGAGAGGAATCGACTTTCCCCCTAAGTTGCGAAAGATATGTGACATACCTGCAGGCGTAGAGCATGTTGGACATGAAAGTGGCTGGAGCTGTTGTCCGTGGTGTATCGATGATATACGCCACGACAGTAGGTAGCGAGGATGCCACTGCGTCAGTGATGATCGCCCCAGACGCTGACCAGGTGAAAATCTCGATTTGACCGGGCGTAT